TTTTTTTTGAGAGAGTCTCACTCTATTGCCTGGGCTAGAGTGACGTGGCGTCAACCTAGCTCACAGCAACCTCAAACTTTTGGACTCAAGCGATCCTCCTGCCTCAGCCTTCCAAGTAGCTAGGACTACAGGCAGGCATCACCATGCCCAGCTAATTTCTTTCTATTTTTTTTAGTAGAAACGGGGTCTCACTCTTGGTCAGGCTGGCCTTGAACTCCTGAGCTCAAACGATCCACCCACCTCGGCCTCCCAGAGTGCTAGGATTACAGGCATGATGCCTGGCCTTTACATCTGATTTTAAGTGACCATTAGACATCTGGACACTTATCAAAGAAGTAACGTTAACTTAATCTGTGGACACTGCTATAAAAACTCTTTCACATCACAAAAATGCAGAATATGGCAAACTGTGTAACAGATACTATGCATTGTAATGGTCTTGCTCCTTAATAAAAAATGAACTAAAAAAACCAAGCCTAAAAACATAGACTCATGCTGAGTCCAGTCCAATTAGTATTAAAAAATGCAAAATATCTAGTTAATTTTTTTCTATTTTTACTTGTTATTGGCATCTGAATCTAGTTAATAATTTTAAAATGATTATATGCTGAAATGATGTTTTGATACACTAGGTTAAATAAAATATATTACCAAAATTAGCATCATCTGTTCCTTTTTACTTTTTAATATGACTACTAGAAAACTGGAAATTACACAAGAGACTTGCATTATATTTCTATTGGGCAGCTCAGTGTTAACAGTGTAAATCTGGAAAGCACTCAGGGGTCATTAAGAGTGACAGTCATACAAATGCTAGTTAGTAATTATTTTATAATATTCCTAAAATAGTATTTTTCAGAGTATCTGTTGGTTTGTACATTGCCAAGAGAACAAAGAGACTGTCTGAAATACACACTAAAAAAGAATAGGGGGTAGGGCAGGTTAGCAAAAAGATTCCTTCTTCAGGAGCAACGTATAAAAGGAAAAACGAAAATTACAGAAACCTTCAAATCCTTAAAGCATGCACTGAAAAAGTAGTGGACTGCTGCTTTAAAGCCTCTAAGTGGAAGAAACAGTCTTCTCCCATGGCATCTACTTAACGTATTTTTGACATTGTGATGTTTGTGTAATGTTCTTAAGCTACTAATAAATAGCTTACACAGATAAACAAATAATCATGAAGATGTAAAAAACAAATTCCTGAAGAAAAGGGCATATATACATTTTCATGACAGGTGCCTTACCTGGGTTGATCACCACCCAGCCACCTCGCTCCTGCTGGTGCATCCAAGCTCTCCAGCCTCGGGCTCCCTTCTCCCCAGCCCGGGGCTCTCCACTGTCCCAAAAGGGCTCAAAAAATTCCACCTGTGCAGGTTTAAAAATGGAAATTAGGCCTAACTGGTACAAAACTGCTGAGTCAGTGGGCAAAAATGAGTGCTGGTGGACATAGGAGGAGCTTATGATTCTTGAAATCATGTTTGCCATCAGTCTTTAAAGTAGATCCATGTACTTTAAAGTAGATCCAGTCTTTAAAGTAGACCCTCAAAATAGAAAAAGGAATGATCTAGCATGGTAGGCAGCCTCCAGGACAACCTCCCATACCCCCGTCCCTCCCTTGTAGGCTGGACCTAGTGACTTCTTTTAACAAAGAGAATATGGCAAAAGTGATGATACTTCCAAGATGAAGTCAGAAAAAGACTGGCCAAGGTTCAGTGAGTAGGGCCTGCAGCCGGGTAGCAGACAGTGGATTCCCAGCTCTGATCCTGCCAGGCCAGTCCAACCACTGGTGTCACTGCCAATTCCCCTAATGCTAATGGACCCCCTAACTGACCCCTGAAAGTCATGTTGTATTCAAGACCTTCTGAGTGGAAGAGGAGTCAAAGTTTCAACAAGACAGACTGTGAGCTCTGGAGGACACCACCACATCTTAAGCAACTATATATTCCTAACACCTACCACAATACTCAACACTTGAGAGGGACTCAGTAAATGCTATCGGCATAGATCTGAACAAGGTAGGCATCCAAGGAGTAAAAAGGTCTTATCTTAAAGCCTGGCCCCTAAACCCTCCCTCATTCATTCAGGCATCAGGTGTGCAGTGTGTGGTAGCCAGTTCACTGGCAATAAGTCACTCCCTATGGAACAGAAGGCGAACACAGCAATGAACAGAAATGTGATCACATTATCAACTGACAATAGGACTTTAAAAGTGAATAACCTAGTCAATGAAAGCTTTTATGAAGAACCTTTTGAGCAGGACAAGCAGGCTTCTGAAGGACACACCATGGGCCAGGAGCTGCAGGATTATCCCGCCCGAGGCCTGGGCAGCACCATGCACACCTGGAAGAGCGTGGTCTTCAGGAGAGTCACAGCAGGGCAAATGTGCTGACATGGGCCCTGCACTCTGAATGCGTGTTAGCCATTTTTTCCCAGGAAAGGGAACAGGGAAGACTACATTCCTTCTTTAAAGGTTTTGCTCTTATAAGAGTGATGAGGCCGGGCGAGGTGGCTCACACCTGTAATCCTAGCACTCTAGGAGGCCGAGGCCAGATGATCGATTGAGGTCAGGAGTTCGAAACCAGCCTGAGCAAGAGCGAGACCCCGTCTCTACTATAAATAGAAAGAAATTAATTGGCCAACTAATATATATATATAAAATTAGCTGGGCATGGTGGCGCATGCCTGTAGTCCCAGCTACTTGGGAGGCTGAGGCAGCAGGATTGCTTGAGCCAGGAGTTTGAGGTTGCTGTGAGCTAGGCTGACGCCACGGCACTCACTCTAGCCTGGGCAACAAGCGAGACTCTGTCTCAAAAAAAAAAAAAAAAAAAGAGTGATGAGGCCAGGCGAGGTGGCTCACACCTGTAATCCTAGCACTCTAGGAGGCCGAGGCCAGATGATCGATTGAGGTCAGGAGTTCAAAACCAGCCTGAAAGAGCTTGTCTCTGCTAAAAAGTAGAAAGAAATTAATTGGCCAACTAAAAATAAATATAGAAAAAATTAGCCGGGCACGGTGGCACATGCCTCTAGTCCTAGCTATTCGGGAGGCTAAGGCAGAAGACTTGCTTAAGCCCAGGAGTTGGAGGTTGCTGTGAGTTAGGTTGATGCCAAGGCACTCTAGCCCAGGCAACAGAGTGAGACTCTGTCTCAAAAGAGTGATGAAAGAAAGTGCACTCAAGAAAAGGGCGTTTTTTGTGTGTGTTGTTGTTTTTTTGAGACAGAGTCTCACTCTGTTGCCCGGGCTAGAGTGCCGTGGCATCAGTCTAGCTCAAAGCAACCTCCAACTCCTGGGCTCAAGTGACCCTCCTGCCCCAGCCTCTCTAGTAACTGGGACTACAGGTATGCACCACCATGCCCAACTAATTTTTTCTATATATTTTAGTTGGCCAATTAATTTTCTTTCTATTTTTTAGTAGAGATGAGGTCTCACTCTTGCTCAGGCTGGTTTCGAACTCCTGACCTTGAGTGATCCTCCGGCCTCGGCCTCCCAGAGTGCTAGGATTACAGGCGTGAGCCACTGCACCCGGCCTAAGAAAAGGCTGTTTTTGAAAACTGTGATAAATGGTTATAAACAGTGTGTTTATTTTATAGAAACACATACTAGTAATATCAGACTCTGCCTATGTTGTGTTATGCTACTATGTTTATGGTAACGATGTCCCCCAGTGATAAAAGCAATAGAGAATACTGTTAATTAAGAAGCTTTAGGCTGGTCCGAAGGTAGTGTTATCTCACTTGATTGTTCATAGTCAGTTACAGGTTGAACTTGTTCTACTACTTTCCCACCTTCTCACTATTGCACCTGACTAGTCTTAAAAAGAAGGGGAAAAAAAAACAGCTTTATTTCAAAGCTGTCATGTGAGTTTTAGAATTACACATGCTGTTAGTATTTAAAACTTCAAGAACATGCATCAGGGTCTCTCTACTCTTCAGAGCAGTGGTCTTTGATGCATCACATAGGTGGGCAGAGACCTCCCACCCATCAGTACCTGCTCTCGTCACAGTGGATCTCAGTAAAGGGGTGGGGATGAGAGTGAGTCTGATCCTGAACCACAAGGCTCCTTAAAGTCAGCTGAGGATCACTTCTGCAGCATAGCATATTCTTAAAATATTAAAGCATGTCTTAAAACTGCTTTGTTATCTGGCTCATTAATCAATTATGCCAATATTAACTGGCATAATTCTTTAATCCAATTTCATCTAGAGGTAGTATCATAAAAATAGTTTTTACTGGCAATTCACGAAACTTTCATGTAATAGAGAAACCTGGCCTCTCAAGAAAGACTTTAAAGGTTCACCATAAATTCAGACAGTCTACTCATCTTCCACTAGACCCCCTTTGCAGAGTAGAAAACTAAGTTTTCTTTAATGGAAAAAGGGAAAAGACAGGTTTTCTTACATGCATAGCTCTGTAAGGTTTTCTTTATTGCTTCATATAATAAATATTGGCAATGTGTGATTGTCATCTAAAACATTAACCCCTCCTCAATTAGGATTGGTATTGACAGGGTACCTGCATGTTATTTCATTTGCAACTCTAGCAAAGATTTTACTTAGTGGAAAGGTTAATTGAGGAAGTGACATAAGACCCAGACTAGAATGTGCAAGGGTGGAGGAGAGTGACACATAGTTTAAAATGGCATGACAATGGTTTATCTGACTGCTAGATATAATCAGCATTTAAACAAGGAAAGAAAAGAAAGGTCATCAGTGAGTCTTTATATTGAGGGGAGGGGAATCTGCTTTCATCTATCCATAGTTCACTTTCATTATGGAATTCTCCTGGGATCACTGAAATATTTCTGAGAAATCATCCTCAGCAGGACTGATATAAAGGAGGATATATTTTTAAATTACTACCACCACCTCCCAGTATCCCCACCTCTCACCTCCCCCCCCAAAAGAGAGACCAGGACAGAGCTAGGTACCTGTGCTTTGGTTGACAGATCTTTCACACTGTCGGGTTTAAAGAAGGTGAAGTCAACCATGGCCTGGAACAAAGATACAGCCTTCTCCGAGTGGCCAGCCTGCCGCAGAAAGTGGCACTGCTGAAGAAAGAGTGCTGCAAACGTGAGGGCAAAGGGGAAGAATCCTTGTTGGTACCATTAAAGGGAAAGAACGTAACTTCTCAGAACTGGCAACTAAGAGAACATCTTTCACCTGAAACTACTGTTAGGGTTACAAAGCTATAACAGATGTCCTAATGTATAAGGACTCATAATAGTATTGTGATCCAAGTATGTTTATTCTAGTTTTTTTATGAAACCATCATAGAATACAAATATTAACAATAAAAATCATATATAGTACATAAAAATAAGTCAATAGGTTGGTCTGAATGTTGACAATCAAATACTCAAAGCTTATTATTATAAGAAAAATTAAAGGAAAAGGATGGCGCAGCAGATTTTTATCAGAAAGCAAAGAGCTGTATTCAGTTGATCACTAGATGGCATCATGCACCAGCAGTTTTCGTCAAATGTTCAGAATCTGCTGTAAACAAATCAAGGTTCCATATTGGAACATTTCAGTTCATCTTACTTGTGGTATTATTCCATTATTAAATAGCCTTAAGCTATTTGAGATCATAAATGATAACAAATGTGTGACAGAAATGTGATAAATGCCTATTATTTCTAGAGTAATATATTTATATCTTAGACACTAGTAATAATACTCAATAGCAGGGATTTTAATCAAATAAATGCCTGCTATGTGCCAGACACTGACCTAGACTCATCATATATTGTCTCATTTAATGTGGGCAATAGTCCTCTAAAGCAGGTTTATATCATTGTTGCTGATGGAGAAATTGGAGCCCACACAGATTAAGGAACCTGTCCAAGGTCACACAAAGCCAACAAAGGGCAAACTCAAGATTCAAGCTCAAGAGTGATATTCTCTGGCTCCTGCAGAACTTAATGCCTCCTCTATCTCATTACTGCCAAAGTTTATATTGTAGGCTCCTTTGGGACACCCCAAAAATAGTAACAACATAATAATACCAATAACATATCTGTGCAATCTTCCCAGTCGGGGCATCTCACATACAGTATTGCCTTCACCCTTATAACTGAGACAAGTATAGGCATCTCAACAGATAAGGATATTAACCACCAAAGCAGTTAAGAGACTTAATGTTTATTTGGTTAATAAGTAGAAAAATTGGAAGTTCTTGTCCAGTGGTATTTTCGTAACTCTACTGGCTCTAATACCCCCCACCTGCCGCAGGAGCTGCAGGAGAGAAATATGTAATAATCAATGAATTATAATAGTCCTTTAAAACTCAGTTCTATCAGACAGTTTAGACTTTTGCTAAAATAAATCAAAAATAAATTGTCATTTCCAAATAAAGTCAAAGTATAACTCCCCCCACATAACTGGATCTGGTCATCTCCTTACCAAACATGGCCTCTTCCGTGCCAGGCAGTGCAGGGTGAGACAAGATGCTGCCATCCTTCACGGCAGACAAAGTACTCAAGCACTTTCCATAAAGACTGTGAATTTTTGATATTGAAAAAGTACTAAACTGGCTCTGGCAAAATAAAAGATATTTCTGCCAGAGGGTTGCATTATTGGGATGTAAAAATATCAGTTTCTGCCATTCTTTGACCAGAGCGGAGGGCTCCCAGAACTCTGTGCAGAGCTTCAGCTTGGCCAGTTTCAGTTCCACACTGCTCTGGTTGCTTTCGATGGCCCGCTCCAGAATGGCCAGCTTCTTCTCCAGAATCAGCTTCAGGGACCTCTTTCGCTTTTCCTGCTCTCCTTCCTCAATGGCATACAGGCCAGGACTTTTCATGACCTCATCCTCAACAACAAAAACAATTTACAAATGCAAATGGAACCAGGAGATCCTCAAAGTTTCAACAGTATATTTACCTACAACCCCCAAGGGAAATATTATTCAGACTTTCTTAAACCACTCATTTATCACAATTTCTTCTTCTTCTTTTTTTTTTTTTGAGGCAGAGTCTCACTCTGTTGTTGCCTAGGCTAGAGTGAGTGTCATGGCGTCAACCTAGCTCACAGCAACCTAAAACTCCTGGACTCAAGCAATTCTACTGCCTCAGCCTCCAGAGCAGCTGGATCTACAGGCATGCGCCACCATGCCCAGCTAATTTTTGCTATATATTTTTAGTTGACCAATTAATTTGTTTCTATTTTTAGTAGAGATGGGGTCTCCCTCTTGCTCAGGCTGCTTTCAAACTCCTGACCTTGAACAATCTGCCCACCTCGGCCTCCCAGAGTGCTAGGATTACAGGCATGAGCCACCACACCCAGTCTATCACAATTTCTTTTAATGAAAACTTGGTTCCTAAGGTACCTGTGTCACCTAGTATGTTTGGTCTTGTGTTTATGTCACTTGATTGTCCATTGTCATTTTAAACTTAGATTTATATATCAATAACTAGCAGATAATGCCTTAGAAACCTTTTCTGAAAAGGCAATCTTACCAATAAAACAGTCACACATATGACAGAATATGGCAACTGTATGAGTGGTTCAAAATCAGGGACTAAGACAAATCCCTATGTTTTAGAAAAGGAGCACATAACTATAACTGTGTAATTTACTGAGCACTCCTTTCTCTTTCACAAGTGCACTTTGCCTGTTCTGTTTCTACTCAGAACTGCCTCTCCTTGCCTGGTGATCATCTCCCTCTTATTTCAAGATTCTGTTCTAATTTCACCTTCTCTTGGCAGCCCTTCTTCCTCCCTCACTATAAGTCACTCCCTCACTCCATTCCCAAATGACACATGACAGCACTTACTACCCTAGGTTGCATTTATTCTTCACATGTCAGTCTTCCTCATTGGACTTTGAACAAGCTCAGGGTAAGAGCCCTATTCTAATAATCTCTATACGTCCAGTGCAAGGGTTCCTCATAGGAGTTCAAATATTACTGCCCAATAAATCAATTTGTCCCAAATCAGGAAGGTCATGCTAAGGTATTAAACCAGAACAGCCATACTTACCTGAAAAGCAACAAATGCCATCCACAGCTGAGTATCCCGAGGATTCTCCCGCACCCTCCTGTTAAACTCTTCCACCTTGGCCTTGAGAACTGCATTCTCGCTGTCTGGCAGTGAGTCTGGCTGCTTTGCTTCTTGCTCTGGAGGACCCTGTCCCTGTAACCACTGTGTAGTTGACTGATCATAAATGCCCAGAGGATTCAACCAGGTTGTTACAGGGGGAGCCACATCATCCGAGTCCTTCACTGGTATAAATGAAATTGGCTCAGATGAGGGAGGTTCACTTTTACTGCTAACAACAACTCCGCTGATGTTCATTAATCCCACACTCTTCTTTGTAAAATAGCGTTCAACCTGCTTGCGTGAATGCTTCTTCTGGGCAGAAGCCCCTTCCCAAGATATGCACTGCTTCTTAGGGTTAATGCCAAGGCAGGAGTCTCCTTTCCTCTTGTATCTAATATTAGAAAAAGAAAAAAAGTTACTGAGGGAATATGTGCACTACCTCTGAATGACTGAAGGTTCACTAGACCTAAACTCTTGTTAAGCAAGTTAACTGCATATATACAAATACACCTCACCTTCAAATTGTTTCTATTTAGAGACATACAGGCATTAGCAATTAACTTTTTCCCACCTGGTTTGACTTCTTCCAATAACATTTCAACTCTTTGTTAATATCTTATGAATTTAAGATCATGCCTGTCTTCTAGATCTTAGTAATTTCTATTTTCCTGGAGCTTTGTAGTTAAGGAACTGTCACACATATTATATCATTTGATCATCACAGCCGTATGTGACAGGGAGGCAGAAATTATCATCCCCTCTTTTACACTGTTACTAAACAAGGACACTGAGACCTAGGAACCTAGGTCACCTATCTCCTCAACCAGTCCTATTTTCTCAATATTGTCCCGTGTCCCTACTTAAGAAAATAACATATAGGTCTAAGATCCCTTTTTTAATCCTGAAACAAAGTATGTCAAATTAAATTACATTTGGTTATTTTCTACTCTACAAAAAAAGAGGTTGGGTTCTTAAATGCTTTTATGGAACGTGTAGGCGTCCTCAGAGTTACAAACACATGACTACTGAATATTTGTACAGGCATTTTGCTAAGGAAAATTGTGCATTTTTCTATATGTATGTTAGCAAACAACCCAATCAAAAACAATGGGCAAAAGATCTGAACCAAAATTTCACAAAAGAAGACATGAATGGCCAATTAATGAAAAAGTACTCAACATCATTAGTCAACAAAGATATGCAAACTAAAACCATAATTAGGTAGCCCACACAACCACTAGAATGGTTTTTATTTAAAATTTAAAAGACTGACAATATCAAATGTTGGTGAGTAACCTGTGGAATAACCAGGACTCTCATTCACTGTTGGTGGGAAGGTAAACTGGTACATCACTTTGGGAAAGGTCTGGCAGTTTCTTAACAAACTAAACACAGACCTAACCTATGACCCAGCAATTCTATTCCTACGTATTTACCCAAGAAAAAGGAAACCAAATGTCTACACAAAGACCTGAGCACAAACCTTCTCAGTAGCTTTATTCTTAACAGCCAAACACCGGAAAGAATCCCAGTGTCCATCAATAGAAGAAGGAATAAACAAACAGTGGTATAGCTATACAATGGAATACTACCAGCAGTAAAAAGGAACAAACTACTGATAAACGCCACATGGACGAATCTCAAAAACATTACACTGACAGACACAAGACTATGAGTCCACTTATGTAGAATTTTAGAATAGGCAAAATTAATCAACAGTAGAAAAAAATAAGAACAGTCACTGCCTCTGGGGATAGTGTGGTGTGGACTGACCAGGGAGGAGAATGAAGGAAAGTTTTGGGGGTCAGAGTAATACTGTACATTTTAATAGAGGTTTGGGTTATACAGGTATATACATTTACCAAAACTCAAGAGAATGAATATTTGTGCATTACACTGTATGTACATTTTAAATTTAAAGAAAAAACTAAAAAGAAAATCAAACTCCAGTTAATACACATATTGAGGTATTTAGCAGGTAGCGCATTAATGTTTCAGTTCACTTCGAAATACATCAAAAAAAAGATGGGCTGATGGATGGACAGGTAAGTGATAAAGCAGGCACAGTCCAAGGATAACAGCAGAATGGGCGGAGGTATACATGACGTTCACTATCAAATTATTTCAGCTTTTGCTGTACATTTGGAAATTTTCCTAATAAAATTCTGTGGAGAGAAGAAGGCAGGGGAGAGCTGCCTCCACCTCTGTCACCTCCACCTCACGATGGCACAGCACAGGCTCTCTCCCGTCACCTCTGTGGCTTCTCTGCTGCCCACAGGCAGCCTCTGCCTGCCTTGTCCCACACTGCTCGAGTGCAGTGAATTCCACTTGGAAGAAATATTTTCTCACACATACACATAAGTTCTCTCTCAGACCTTTTATCTATCCTTTCTCCCAATTTGCTCTAGATTACCTCAGGATAATCTCTCACCATTCCACTTATGAGTCAAAAACAACCTTAACAAAGGTATGATGAGATAAAACAGTACTAAAGTCGTTCTAAATAAGCCTGTCATTCCCTAAGGAACAAATTTTTTTTTTTTTTTTTGAGACAGAGTCTCACTCTGTTGCCCTGGCTAGAGTGAGTGCCATGGCGTCAGCCTAGCTCACAGCAACCTCAAACTCCTGGGCTCAAGCAATCCTCCTGCCTCAGCCTCCCGAGTAGCTGGGACTACAGGCATGAGCCGCCATGCCTGGCTAATTTTTTCTATATGTATTACTTGGCCAATTAATTTCTTCCTATTTATAGTAGAGACGGGGTCTCGCTCTTGCTCAGGCTGGTTTTGAACTCCTGACCTCGAGCAATCTGCCCGCCCCGGCCTGAGCCACCGCGCCCGGCCAGGAACAAATTTTAACCTAACTAGTTTTGTTATCCTTAATACTACTTTCTTAACAGTATTGATTCCTCATTAGTTTCACTATAGTATACAGATGTACAGTATTTTAGATATTCATATAATCCTTTTAAAAGTGTTGAATGAGTTTTCTGACTTGAGTAGCTATATTTTTGTAGCAAATTAGATATAAATGATAAGAGGGGGAAAAAGAATCTTATTGGCCTCCCTTATTATCTCCTTTCAGATGCTGTATGTATTTCTGCAAATATTCATATGCATACATACACACATCCTTATTAAAGACAGTTCATATAATTTCTCCCCTACTTTGAGGCATTTCCCCATATCAATTAGTCTTAGCAAATATAATTTCCATTGGCTTCAAATTGTTCCATTGGATGGATGTGTCATAATTTATTTAACCATTTCCCTATTGTTAGACATTTAGGTTGTATCCAATTTATCACCTAGCATAGGATCTTAATAATTAGAACTTAGGATGTAATATAATGTGATATTCTCCTAAATGAAAGCACTTTTCCTATAAAATCCTTATCAAATAATCAGCAAGAACAATTCCAAAGGTAGGAACTACCACTTTGTTTGTCAGTTCAGTGGATAACATATATACATTTAATTTAAATGAATGCAGCTACAGGCAGTTGGCCACACAAAAAAAATAAGTGCAGGGCTAGGGGGAAAGGAAGAGGGAGAATACATTTTTGCCCTGAATTCCCCCAGTGGGTCTGCACCCTGGAGACAGCAGGGCAGGGCAACATCACTCAGCCTTTCCTTCGGTGGCTTTCATTCTCACACATCCCTCTCGGTGCCAGACTGCCTAGGTCCAAACCCCAACTCCACCACTTACTAGCTGGGTGACCTTGATCAGGTTATTAAAATCTGTCTTGCCTCAGTTTCCCCATCTGTAAAATGGGGATAATAACAGTGCCTATGTCATAGAGTTGCTGTCAAAAAAGTTTAAACATGTAAAGTTCTTATGAGAATGCCTGCCATATAGTATAGGCTAGATAAGCTTAAATTATTATTATTTTATAAAAGTTGGCTCCTCAACTAAGCCAACTATTTTATCTGGTATATAGCCAAAGAACAACAACCTCTTCCAAAAATGGACAAAAAAACTGACTGAGCTGAACTTCACAGACAGACACTTTATTAGTCCTAAGGAATTTTCCAAAGTAATTTTGACTCTGTATAATTGTCATGTTCCATACTAACTGTGGAACCTAGCACCCATTGACCACAAACTCCAACACACACAGTGTCATTGCTGAGATACTCACACCAGTAGATGTGCTTTACACTGAGCCAAATCTGATTCCCAGAACTTCCACTCATTAGTCCTGGTTCTGCCTTCACAAGTCACACAGAACATTGTCAATCCCCTTCCATGGAACAGTCTAAAAAAGCTTAAAAGACAATGATCAAATCCCTGCCACCAACCAAATATCCACAACCCCTCATCTAGTCCTCACATGACAGTGCTAGTCGAATTGTAAGTAACTGCTCATCTTCCTCTCAATGCTCTTGGTTTGCCAGTGGCCCTCTTAAAAGTGTGAATATTCAGTGCCGGCCACAATATTCCCACTGTCTTCTGACCAGCCCAGAATGCCATGGGATCAAAATCTTCCAAGACCTGGACACTGACAGTTATACAGCTACTAATCCAGGCAAGATTTGCCCCACTTAAACTTTACTAAGTTACCAGGAAATCACAATGATACCCTAAGCCCTTTAATAGTATTATCTTTGCAGTTTAGATTAATAAAGTTATCTCTAATTACTATCTTCCTAAGGTCTATGCCATTCATTAGCAGAAGCTCAAGAGCCACTCTTTGTTAATAACTTCTTTTTTTCATCTATTAATAAAGAATAATCCTTCATATTTGTACATCAATTTCAAATTCCATATCAAATATCTCTGATATTTGAGTACAAGGCATAGCAGGAGTTACAATTTACAAATGAAGAAACCAAGGCTAAAACAGGTCAGTCACCTGCTTGGGATTATACTGCTAGTAACTTGCAAAGTCAGAATGACAACCAGAGTCCTCTGTTTGCAAATCTAGATAATGTCCTATCACACAACCAACCTCATCTTTATTTGTGGGCAGTGAAAGAACCTTTGACGTCAGAGGCACAAAGGTTCTAATCCCAGCCCTGCTGCTCCCTGGCTGCACAATCTGGAGCAGTTACTTAACCTCTCTCAGATTCCTTCTCCTCATTGGTAAAATGAAGACAGCTTTCCTTCTCCTCCTCACAGAGCAGCTGTGAGGATCAGACAGGCTAACAGAAGTGAAAGAACTAACAGAGGTGAAAGGACAAACACAGGACCATGGCCACATACCTCAGGCCAAATCAGTGTTGCCTTCCCCATCTTTTACTGGGAATCCACAATACCTGTGGCACTCCCCTGTGGTGGCATGGAAAACCAAACAAGTCTTCAGGGAGTATTAAAATTATCTTAAAATACATGAATACATTTGAAACATTATAGTCATTTATTTTCTGAGGTTTCAGTTGACAGTATGTAGAT